GTGCTCCAATGATACCCAACACCTGGAACTTACTCATATGCGAATATAAAAAAATACATGCTACACACAGACCTATTTCTGAGTGCCCTTATGTCTCATAAACGAAGACGGAAAAGGTATCAACTCTGATTTCGACACACCAACATATATTCCGTACCAACATATATTCTTACTAGAAGTGCCATCTGTTCATACGCGAGATCTGGACTTGTTTACATAGACGGATCCACGGGAGAGGAAGAGGGGGAGGGATGACGGACCTTTCACACCCCCACCCCCCTCCCAGCGGCACAGGTAGCAGTGTTAAAACTGAAGAAAACTCTCTTCCGAACCCCCGGTCGTCTTCCCCTTCTCCAGGGAGGCTGCCCTGGATCCGCCTGTGACTCTGTACTAATAAATGTTACTTTGATACCGAGTGATACTGCATAATAACAGCAGTTTGGTACCACACACAGACAGCAACCCCTTATTCCTAAAGTTTTCGATGCGATGCGATCCGATTGTGTCTATGCAATTTTCACAAAATTTACACGAAGGAGTAAGACGATAGCTGCCCATCTTCCATCTGATGAGCTTAAACTTTAACACTTATAAGGAAATAGCAATCTCTTGCAATTTTTGCAAACGATTGTTCTGCCTTACTTACCCGCATGGTCATTCGGCGCATTGAAGCACTCATTTCGGTGCGTAGCAGTCTCAGTAACACATCCAGCAACTCCGGATAATCTTTGTACGGATCAACAACATACGCAGTATTCTGACAAAGTTGCCCGATTGTACGCAAAGCCGCCTGGAGAATTAATTAATTAATGAAGTGGAAAAAGTAAGAAGGTAACAAAAGTCAAAACCCTCTCTGTATTCACTGTGAGATAATAAGGCAGTCGGAAGCAGTCCTCAAGGTGCATATGTCAGCTCACAAATTTGCAGATGGCTCCCTCTTTCAAGAGTTGCTTAGAAGCAAGCTGATGGCCCTCAATTATCCGCAATTTTGCCAAAAAATCTAGCTCCTACCATACTAAAGGCCTGTCAGCCAGGAGATATGCATGTAAACATGTACGTATTAAAGAAGATAATAAACGTATTTAGGAGATCTGTCTATTACGTACATCCAGGAGGCTCGTCATTTGCTGACCTATTTATTTCTTTTTTCATACAAACGCCCACTATAAGACATACTTCTCGGCGACTCAAGCTGCTTGAATCCTGTAGAAACTGCACCAACGACGGGAACAGTGTTTCCACTGAGAATACCAATTCGGGACCGCCCGCAACTGCTAATTCACTGATCGCATTCAGAACCTGTAAATTTTGCAAATAACTGATTTGAATAAAATCAAAGTTAAAAGTCAACTCCCGCCTTACTCCCCACAACAGGAGGAGAGGGGGACTGGGACGTAGCCAAGTGAATATTTGTGTCAATAGCAACCACTCGCTGGCGAGGCTATCTGTCGACGGTTCCTCTTTCCAGGACTGCTTAAGAAGCAAAATTTTGCTCTTTCTGCTCACTGGCATGCGACGGTACTAAATTAATATGAAAAAGAATTAATTAGCTTTGCCAGTGACGGATCTGAACCCTCGACTTTCACCACAAGAGCATCGCTATTTGCCACTGCGCCATGCCCACCAGTCTAAGTTATTATTAAAATAGAAGGGGAAGATGGGGCCATGGAGGGCCGAGCAAGAAGTGGTCATTCCAAATGAGAATGTCAGAGTTGCAGTAGACGAGGGGTGGTAATGAAAATCTCAGACTAATAAAAGCAGTGAGGCACCTGCACGATCACATCAACATGATTGGTTTTGGTGCGAAGCATTGGCACCAGTGCAGCCAATATCGGGCTCATATATGGCTTAATAAATTTCGGTGATTGCTTTGCAACTTGAGCAATTAGACGAGCACTGTGTTCTTCCAGCCTGTAATTTTTTTCTACAAAGCTAATAAATAATAAAATATGCTAGATCACGAGGAGCCAAGCGGCCGTCTTTTAGCTATAGCTGACGGAATTCCTGCGTCCGAAATCCAGTGACCTTTGATGCTTCTAACAAGTGTTTCCTAAAAAAACACCTCCCCAAGAGAGATGGCAATTGAAATAGTGAAGAAAAGTTAGATATCTTGCAAATTCCTAAATCGCTTAACACTTTACAGTGAAAAATAAGCAGTGAAAGAAAGTGGAGGGAAGGGAATCCCATGCTCATCAACCGCATGATGACCATAAAATAATGCAATTTCAGTAACTACGAACAAGTTCCGAGATGCACCGGAAGCATGATAGTTTGCTACGATAATATGATAGCTGGTCAACCAAAATAGCGTACAACAGATGTTGGTATATTGGTAACAGCCTTTCTGGGAATTTTAGCCCAAAAAAATTCAGCACTACCCAAAAGGTTAACTGTCTTTTTTATCGCAGCAAACAGCGGGAAAATCACTAAATCGGATAACCTAGGATGCTGCCCAGTTAGCGAGATATCTTGTTTTGGCAACATTCGGGATGAAATAGTGCTGAGCAACGCCTTTTCATGGAAATCTCGTATCAGTTAAAGTCCTCCCATGTGTTCTTTTTGAAAAAAACCGCTAAACCACCCTCTTCAAATGTCAGCATTGCCAGTAAGCTCTCCATTAATATCTCAGGAACCACGGAGACTAGGAGGCTCAAATTTTAGGGTAATGACCCCCTCCCCACGCTAAACCTTGCCCATTCAAATTCAGCGTTTCCGCGCTCTCGTGTATCACGTACCCGAAGAACTGTTAAAAAATGGTAAAAAAAAAGAATCACCTCGGTACGCCAGTGTTGGTAAGCTGTGAAATTGTCTCCAGCAGAACATTTCTTAAACTTGGCAGAACGTATGCGGGATTTAAATTGCCCAATTTTCCAAGTAGTGCAACCGAGCGCTCCTGCATTTCCAGCTTCTCGTCATGCAACGTCATGAAGATCAGCTGAAGCATATCGGCCTGCGCCAAATGTGACAGCAGATGAGCATCACCATCTTTGAAGCATTGCAAAACACTCAATCGCACCTCAACAGCTGAAACAATTTGTGAAATAAGTCAATGCTAAAAGTCCCTCTCGCACATTTTTGCAAGACATGTTGTTCGCGCTGCTCACAGCCGGCAGGTGTCATACATTAAATGGGAATACCCCTTACCAGCCCCCCTCCCGCCTCGCCCCTCGTTCTCGCCGCTCTTCCCAAGAAAAAGAACTCTGAGGAACGAGAACTTACATGGATCGGTGACAGCAACCATGACAAGCTGTCTCAGCACCGACTGAATTAACTTGAGAACATGAAATTTCTGTGTCCTATTGGAGCCTTCGAA